CCATCTCCATCCCCTCTCCCCATACTCTCTCTCCCTCATCTCCTCCTCCTTTCTCCTCCCCCTCCCCCTTCTGCCTCCCATTCAGAGTTCTTCCCCCTCCGGCTGCCTGTGAGCACCCCTGTTGGAGCCCCAGCTCTCTGAATCAGTGGGTGGCTCCTCACCACTCTTGGGGTGGGGCTCCGTCTTGCTCTTTGAGTCAGGGTCCCTCTCCTTATCCTGGCATTCAGAGCCTCTCCTAGTCGGGAGCTGCTGACATTTGGCCTTTCCTTGGCCTTCTCTTGCTGGCTCCTCTTCGGCCAGCTTCCGTCCTAGCCCCAGCAGGGTGAGGGAGAGCCTCAGCCTCTTGTCTGTGGAGCTCCTGAAAGCTCCGGGTGCAGGATAGCGTCCTTTCACGTGCTTTGGGGTCAGCGTCCTCTTTCTTTCGAGCCGTCTCTTTCTTGACTTCCTAAGTCTTTCTGGAGTTCCTCCTCAGATCGCTGACTTGTGGCCCCCCAGATCTTTTTCATCCCTTTTGGAGAATGGAGTTCTCCGAACCTTCCTGTCTAGTAGGGCTTAGTCGATCAAAGTTGTTCTTGAAGGTTGTGCTGGAGGGCTCTGGGACAGCCACGGGTGTAAAGCGTGCGCTGCGTGTGCGTTCCCCTTGCTGCTGGTCACGCCTCACGAGGCCGAGAGAGCCCCACGATCGCGTGATGATGAGGTCCGTGGCGGCCACTTGCCCCTGACTCTTACAGTGTGGTTGGCGTGGGAGCCACCACTGCCGAGGGGCGATGGACGGGTGGGCTTTTGCTCCAATTTCAGCCCGGGCAGACTCCCCCCACCCAGCCTGGGCAGCAGCCCTGGCTCCAGGGAGGCGGCAGGCGGTGGCCTGCGGGGGCGTGGCTTTGGCAGTTTTGCGTCCAGTCCTCACCCGCTCGGCCCTGTGCCTCGTCTGTCCCGTTGCTGGGTGGATTCTCGTCCCCCGGCCGCAGAAGTCTTAGCCCTTCTCTAAGGAAGCTTTTTGTCATCTTCCCTCGGCTCTTCTCTAGTTCCTTCTCGTTCCTCTCTGTCCTGTGGGATCGAGAGAGAGAAAAAGGAATCTGGAGGTGATTGAGTCCAGCCGCTCTTTCTAACGGAGCAGCTGACGGCCGAGGGTTCAGAGGTCACAAGTGGCTGAGGCCAGGGTTGGAGACACATCTCGCGAGGGACAGCGTAGTGGACGTGAGCCCTGACTCGGCCGTTGCTGGGTCTCCTGTGTGCCCAGAGACAAGTGGGCAACATCTGAGCCTTGACTTCCCCGTTAGCAGAACGGGACTGAGCGTCCACTCAGCCCCTCCCCAGGCTCCCCAAGGGCCAGGGACCACGCTTTGTGCATCAGGCCCTTTAGGAGAATGGGGCCGTCTGGCTCTGGGTTAGAGGCGGGCGGGCCCTCAGCCGGGTCTCACCCCCATGTTCAGGCTGCTCCGGTGATTCAGAGCTCTGGCAGGCAGCTTCCTGAGTGGGGAGGGCAGAGGGGCACCAGGGGGTGGCCCGATCACGGGTTCTCTTCTCTCCCAGTGGCTGAACGATGAGAGGATCGTGCAGTGGCTGGTCGACATGATCCACCCGGACCAGGATGAAGCTGTGAGTCCCCTGAGTCTCCTGGTGGGGGGGTGGCCGGGGAGGGGCCCGGCGCCGCCTCACAGCCCCCGTCGCTCCTCTTCCCTCAGCAACACTCCAACGCATCCCAGTTCCTGTGTGACATTGTCTGTCTGAGTCGGGAGCAGATGCTTCGCGTGCAGGACGGTGCTGAGCCCGACCGGCTGCTGGCCACACTGGAGAAGTGAGTGACCGGGGGCTGGGGGGGGCTGGGGATCCCCGGAGCCTGCTTTCGGTCCGCCCTCGCCCCCGCCCTGGGCCTTGGGGCAGGCCATTAGTGCGTCCCTGCCCCCATCCAGGCAGGAGACCGTGGAGCACCTCCTCGGCAACCTGTTCCAGGGGGCCCTGAGCGAGTCTGTGATCGTCAACGGCATCCAGGTCATTCTGACCCTGTTGGAGTCTCGGAGGCCCAGGTGAGGGCAGTGCAGGGCCGCTCTGGGCCCTCTTCTCTGGGCACGTCTCCGCTCCCCCTCTGTGCCTTCTGGGGGACTGGGCAGCCGGGTAGGGGCCTTCCTCTTGATGGGCCTCCCCTTGACCCCACAGGGCAGACAGCAGAGGCGTGGGCAGCTTTCCCTGCAGTGTGGAGGACCGGCTGGAGCTGGTGCCCCCGGGAGGCCCCGACAGCCCCCTGACCAGCCAGGCCAAGCTGGGCACTCTTGAGAGCCCTGAGGCGGTGGCTTGGCCACTTCCACCAGTTGCTCCTGGAGCCCCCCACAGTGAGCCACGGGCTGGGCTCTGGGGGGCGGGGAGCTCCTTCTTCCTCGCAGGTGGGGGTCCCGGTCCGACTCTCTGCAAGGTCCTTTCTGGCTCTAACATTCTATGATCTATGATTAGAATCACAGAATTTCAGAGTTGGAAGGGACCTCAGTGCTTACGCGGACAGCGAGCAAGGAAGAGCGTGCCAGTGAGATGGCCTTCCGCGATGGTCCAGCAAGCCTGCCACTGCTGCGGAGTTGGGCGTGGGGGGGAGGGGAGCGGCCCGCTAGCTGAGGGAAGCCTGGGTGTCCAGCCAAGGACCCTCTGGTCTTTCCACCTTTTAGCAGGAGACCCTGCACACGACCTGGGGGAGCCTGCAGCCCCCGTCGGGTAATACTCGGCTGCATGTGGTGAAGCTCTTGGCCAGTGCCCTGAGCACCAACAATGCGGCTCTGACGGGAGAGCTCCTGGGGATGGACACGCTGAACACCATGCTGGTGAGGCAGGTGGGCGGGGGCGGGGAGGGCGAGGCCTGCCGCGCCTTGCCCGGCCCCCAACCGGCTTCTTTCCCATCACCAGGACCTCTTCTTTACTTACGTCTTCAATAATTTTCTGCACTCTCAAGTGGAGACGTGGGTGAGCAGTGTGTTGAGCGCCGCGGTGGCAGCTGGAGGATGGGCTGGAGCTCCTGGCGCCAAATCCTGCAGTCAGACACATAAGTGTGGGGCCGGGTCCCCTTCCCCGGTGCAGACATCTGCCTCTCCCCCGGCGAGGACGCTGCCCCAGGAAGCCCATTTCACTTGAGGACGGCCTTGGGGCCCCTGGTTCTGATCTCTGTCCCAGTGGTGGTTCCCCTCCCGGGAATCTGTTCTAGTCCTTCCCAGACACGAGACCGCGAGGAGGGGTAGCTGCACGGCTCGGGGTCCCGAGTTCAAATCTTGCCCTTGACGCTCACTGGCCATGCAACCCTGGGCTAGTCACTTTAGTGCTGCTTGGGGAGGAAGTCTTGGCATTTGGGAAGCGCTCACCCTCACTGTCGTTCTTGTAATCACCGGAGGTCTCCCTGTTACCAGGATGGTGACTGGCACGGGGTGGTGCCCGTTGGCCCCTGGGCTTCTCGGGTGCCAGGCCCTCCTGGCAGGCTGCTGACTGCCAGCTCCCTTCCATCTCGGTACCCCGCCCCCCTTGGGGTGCCCTCTCTGTCTTCGCCTTTGGTCACTCACAAACCTCTTCCCAACTTGCTGGTTTCTGTCGAGGGCACCAGGAAGCCTCCCAGTGGCCCCTGGGAGAGGCGGTGCAGCCGTTGTGATGCCCTTTACTGATGAAAAAATTGAGGCCCAGAAAGGCGATAGGCCAAACACAAGGTCCAGTTAGTAAGGAGTCAAGCTAGAGATGAAGCAGCGGCCCGATTCGGTTCAGCATTCTCACTGGACTGACTCTTTTAGTTTCTAAAAAGAGACCGTTCCAGTGGTTTTGATTTTGCCTTTCAGCATTTCCCTTCTTGGGGACCTCCTTCCCCACCCCTCTTCCTGCACTTTAGTCTGACCCCCGTGCTGGGGGGGGGGTCCTGTCTGCCCGCCCTCCAGGTACTGGACCGTCGCCGTCCTCCCCTTCTCTTGGCTTCCCCGGTGTGGCCTGGCCTCTTCCCACCCCAGTCTCCTTCTCTTTCCCGTAGCTGCTCCAGAAATGCCGACTGGTGGAGAGGATCTTGGGTGCCTGGGAGGAGAACGACAGAGTGCAGTGAGTGCCCGGGGCTGGGTCAGCCTGTGCCCTGCTGGCCCCCTCTCGAGCGGGGATGGGGGCGTGGAGCTGAGCGGCCTGTCTGTCCCCAGGTCAGAGGGCGGCCGGAGGAAGGGCTACATGGGCCATCTGACGCGCATCGCCAACGCCGTGGTGCGGAGCGCCGAGAAGGGCCCCAACGCCGTGCTGGTGGGGCAGCTGCTTCCAGGTGAGGCCCTGCCAGAGTGGGGGTGGGGAGGGGAGGCCATTTGTGGTCAGTGTCACATGTTCCCTCCCCGCCCCCCACGGAGCAGAGCTGCTGGGGAAGCAGCAGCAGCTGTGGGAGCAGTTCGTGTTGGGGCCTCTGTCCGAGACCAACCAGAAGAACACGGTTGACCTGGTGAGACTGGGGCTGGGGGGGCCCATCCCTGTGCCGGGGTTTCTGGGGGGGCTTCTGACCCTTTGTTCCCCTCGCCGCACCCAGGTCAGCACCCACAACTTACACTCCTTCAGCGACGACGAGGACGGGGGTCTGAAGGGCTTCGGCTTTCCCCAGGAGGCTGTGCTGCAGCAGGTGGGGCAGGGCCCCCTGCTCCCCCTGCCCTCTTGGCCCCCCCTGCCCTTTTCCCTTTCTCCAGCGTTCAGGCCCGGGAGGGCTTTTGGGGGCGGAGAGTGAGGCCGGGCCTGTGAGGGAAGCAGGGTGGGGTGGGCAGAATCTTGGCCCCGGTCAGGGGTGGGGGAGAGGCTTTGGCCCAGGCTCCCAAGGCGGGTCAGGGTGCCGGCAGGGCCTTGGCCAGGGTGGGGGGATGGGCTTTGGCCCGAGCCCCTGAGGCCGGGTCGGGGCCGGCAGGGCCTTGGCCCAGGTGCCGTGGCCGGGACACTAGGTAAACGGTGTCTGGGGTCCTTTCTCCCCACAGGCCTTCATGGACTTTCAGATGCAGCAGATGACCTCGGCCTTCGTAGATCATTTTGGTTTCAACGATGACGAATTTGGGGAGCAGGAGGAGAACGTGAAGTGAGTGTCCCTTGAGGCTCTGGGTAGCTCTTGCCTCCCTCTCCGAGGGTGGTGCTGGATGCCGCGTCCTTGAGCTCCGCCCCCTCCCCCGTGGGGTGGGCCGTGCTCCCCTGATCAGGGAGCCCCCCAAGGAGGTCTCTGGGTGTCTGGGCAGAGAGGGCCACCCAGCCAGAGGACACTCATTTACCGATCCCTTCTGAGGACGAAAGGCTTGGGGTGCCTTTGCCCAGGCCTTTTGGGTGCCTCGCGTAGCCGGCTAGGGAGCGGGGCCTTCTCTTTGGGCCACGAGAAGGAGGCAGGGGGTCGTAGTGGGGCAGGTGGCGGGTGGGGAGCCAGGCCGCAAGAAAGCCGCAGATGTTTCCCGATCTTCTGTCCACGAGCCTCCGGTCCCAGAGATCCTGGGGCTCCTGATGGGACGGGCACTGTTCTGTGCCTGGCTCGCTTGCAGGCCTTGGGGCAGGAGGGGACGCCAGGACAAGGGGCTCTCTCAAACCTTGTTCTGGCCTCTCCTCCAGCGCCCCCTTCGACAGGATGGCCAGTATCACCTTCTCCCTCAGCGCAGATGATGAGAGCGTGAGTGTTGGCCCTGCTCGGGGTGGGCTGGGAGCTGGACCTTGGTCCCCAGGCGGGGTGGTGGGTGGAGGACAGGTATGCAGACCCTCCCCTCCTGCAGTGAGAAGCCTCAGGTGGGCATGTCCTGGGCTGGGGGGGGGGGCCGTAGGAGAGCCAGCTCTGCCGCTGTCCCCTGGCCCAGCGCCAGCCTGTTTGAGCTCTGCTGCAAGGAGAGGCTCCATCAGTTTGACGAGGACGACGAGGAAGGCCTGGGCTCGGGGTACTTGGATGGGGAGGATGCCATGTGGCAGGATGGATGGCGGGGCTGGGCCCGTAGTGTGAGGTGAGTGAGGCCGGGGAGGGCCTGGCCGGGCCTGGCTGCTTCTCCAGTGACGGTCCTGGCTCTAGACGTACATCACTTTGGTCTTCTCTGGCCTTAGGAGCGGCGGCAGCACAGACAGCGAGGAGGAGGAGGAGGGAGAAGTCAGGGAGACCATGGGAGGGCTTGTCCCACCCTTCTTTAGCTTTTCCAACCCAGAGCCCCCTGGGACGCCTCCCCAAGGTAATGGGGGGCCCTGGGGATTCTATCTCCAAGGGGTCTCAGTTGTTCAAACACTCAGGACTTGTCCCCAGGCAGACATGGCCCCCTCTACCTGCCTTGCAGGGGATTGTAGTCTTAACAGGGCTGGGGCACGAGGGCGCGAGTGAGTGGTCTGGACGAAGGGCTTGGGGATGGCACCCTAGAGTGGAGAAATAGGGCTGGCTTGGGCCGCTGGTCAGCCAGGCTGGCTGTCCAGGACAGTGCTGGAGCACAAGGCGAGGGGGAGGCGGGCGTCCCTCTAGGGGAGCCCGGGAGGGAGCTTCGAGTCTAGGGGTGGGGGCAGGATCGGCAGGGTCATCGGCGGGTGTCAGAGGCCCTTGGACGGGGGGGCCCTGGACGTCCCTCTGAGGTTGGTCTCCTTGCACCCTTGTCTTTCTGCCTGCAGGGCTGAGGAAGCAGATCCTCTCTGCCTCTGTGGACTCGTCCCTGGGTCCCCCAGGCTCCCCTGACCCCCCCTGTGGCCGTGCGACTCGGGGTGCTGACGCCTTGTCAGACAGGTGAGGCCCAGAGGGGGATGTCGCAGCTTCCCAGCTTTGGGGACTCACTCTGACCCGTCAGAGCTGTGTCCTCAGCGGGGCCTTCTGTCCCTTCCCCCTGTAGGCCAAAGGACCCTGCCCCAGCCACTGCTGCAGGAACGCCTCAGGAATCGACCAACGCCAGTGTAGTGGCCTGCTGCTGCCAAGGTGACCAGGGCCTTCCCTTCTCTCTGGTCAGGAAAGGAGCGGGCTGGGGTGTGTAGCCTCTGAGGTCTGGGCAGCTGGTGAGGTGGTGGTCCTGAAGATCCTGATTGCTCCTGCCCCCTCTTCCAGCAGCTGCCAGGCAGACCGCAACCCCTCTCAGTGCGATGCGAGTGCTTCCAAGACCCCCCCTGCCAGGACAGGTGAGGAAGTGTGACTGTGGGGGAAGGGCTCAGGGCCCCACTCACCATCTCCCTAGGCTGTGGGCTCTTATTTTTGTGAAGGACTGTCTGTACCTCATCACGTTCTGGGAGGTAGGGGCAGTTCTTGCCATTTTAGAGAAGAGGAAACTGAGGCAGGCAGATTAAATGACATCGTCCGCGATCCCACTCGAACTCAGTTCTTCCTGACTGTGGTCCGCGCTGGCCCCTGTACCTAGCCGGCAGTGAGCCTGGGATTTGTCATGATGCACCAGGCATCACCTTAGCTCTGTCAGCCCCCAGGCCTAGCGCAGGGTTTGTCCTTTGTAGACTGGTTGAGTTGAGTGGAGGTCTGGGCAAGGGGGAGAAGTGGGCATGGAGGTGGCTCACCAAGGTCTTCTCTCTTCTCAGTGAACTGCCAGTGCTGCCCAGTGGTCCTGCTCCAGGGGGGCCCCCTCCCTCTCCAAACACCAAGTAAGCAGCAGCGTTGGGCAGGTGGGGGGCAGGATAGGCCCCTCCGGTCTTATCCATCTTTTCCCAGATAACCTGTCCTGTGGGGGTTGTCGTCCTGCGGACTGCCGCTCCCGGCTGACCTGTCCACGTCAACACCACCACCCCCGTCTGTTGTGTGTCAGCCCGCGCCGGTGACAGAGACTCACACCGAGCTCTGTCCCCTGAGCCTGGCTGCTGGAAGCGAATGCTGGGAGTGGTACGTGGGCAGGGAGAGGTCGGCCTGGATCCCCACCTGCCCCTCCCCTAGCCCTGTTTGCACTGAGAACATGAGGAGTGTTGATTCCAGAGAGAGGGAGTCCAATAGATGCATTCTCTCTTCTCCAGATGTTGGAGTTACAACAGCAGCTGAGAAAGGGGTGGGGGGGGAGGAATTTGGGGGAGTCCCACAAGAAATAAAACAGGTGGTGTGTGCCCACCACTATTCCAGAGGGCCGCCCAGGCCTCAGAGGCTTGAAGAGGTCCCAGATGGAAGACTGTGCCTTGCCTTGTGGGACGGGGTGGGAGCCCTCACCCCTCCCAGTGCCCCCATCATCTTGGGGGGTGGGGTGCTTTTTTCTGCCCCAGAGGACCCTGGGGGTTTTGGGATGAGAGTACGCTCCCAGTTGCTGGGGTTTTGGCCGTAGCTGCCAAGTGGCCTTGTTCCTCCTTGCCTGGCCTGTGTGTTAAGGCCAAGCCGTTTTCATATTCCTGGCCTAAATAAAAATTTAAAAAGGTTTTTGTTTGTTTTTGTTTTGCAGGCTTGGAGGGTGTTTTAGGAGTTAGGGGAGCAGAGTAGGAGCCCCATCACAGGCCCGGATGGGGCCTCGTTGCCCACCAGCAGCAGCGTAGGGCCGTGAGCTTGAGTCGGGAGGGCCGAGGAGGTGGAGCTGATGCCTTCATTCCTATTCTGCTTTTGCTTCTGGGGTGGACGACCAGAAGCTTTCCTAGGGAGATGGCGAGAGGAGAGAGCCTGGAAGGAAGGGTGGCTGGAGGGAACCTTGATCTTCAGGGTCGCCCCTCAGAGCATCAGCCTTTCCGGAAGTTCTCAGCAAGCCCAGCAGCAGGAGCTACGTCAGGCCAGACAGAGCTGGGCCGCTCAACCGCCTGGGTGGAATATGCTAGTGGGATGGAGATGACAAACCGCCTTGCTTTCCCAACTAGGAAAGGTTTACATTCTAGAGCTGGGAAAAAGTGAAATTCATCCAGAGTCGAGGGAGTGGGAAGGAGGGGCCTGGGTGGTAACACATCTCAAGCAGCAAAAAGTAGTTGAACTACGTGGTCCGTGGCACAGATTGGTTCAGAATAGACAAGTGTGGTGTTCGATAAATGAGAAACTCAAAACTGCTGGTAGGAGGACTCAGTATTGGACAAAAGTCGCTGGCAGAAATTAGCGTCAGATCAGCATCTCACGACAGACTCCATGATAGGCCCAAAGGGGCGGGATCTCCGTGTAGGGCGCATCCTAGGTGAGGAAAGAAATAACGAACAGCTCTGGGGCTAGGGAGAGTTCTTGGCCGAGTGGGGTAGCAGCTTGCAGGTTACGGTGAGTAGTAGGATTGGGGGAAAATGAAGAGTTCCCACAAGCAGAATCAATGCATTTTTTCAATGTGAAGGGGAAGTCCAGTGGGGGAGAAACCTTTGCAGCGTGTTGTTCTGGTAAAGGTCTGATATTCTAGATCAGGGCTTCTTAAACTTTTTCCACTTGTGACCCCTTCCCTGTGTCTTCAACTGGCGTCATGACCCCCAGTTGAAGAAACGCTGTTATAGGTAAATACAAGGAAGGGATTCGAATACAGAGGAATGAGAGCCATTCCTCAGTGGATCAATTGTCAATAGACAAGTGGTGTCAAAGGAGGAAATCTTTGGAATGCTGTTTTTGAAATGCTCCAAATTGGTCATTAGGAAAATGCACATTAAAACACCTGAGGTTCTACCTCAGCCCATCAAATTAGCAAAAAGGAAAAGGAAAAAGGTAGTTGGAGCAACTGTGGGAGGACGGGCCCCTAAGGGCTGCTGGGCCTGTGAATTGGAATGCCGTGGTGGAAAATAATTTGTAGCAATGCCGATAAAGTCTCCGAGCTGTGCATACCTTTGACCAGACCTAGACTCCAAAGAGTGCTTCCTATGAGGCGTGGCGCGTGGTGGGTGTTAAATCAATGCTTACTGACTGCCTGAGAAAAACCCGTGTGTACAAAAATATTGTTCAGCCCTGTCCAACACTTAGAACCCTGCTGGGGGTTTTCTTGGCAGAGACACTGGAGTGGTTTGGCCAATCCCTTTTCCAGCTCATCTTACAGACAAGGAAACTGAGTCAAACAGGGTGGAGTGCTTTGCCCAGGCTCACACAGCTAGTAAGTGTCTGAGGCCAGATTTGGACTCAAATCTAACTGACTGTAGGTCTGAGGCTCGCTCTAGCTGCTGTGAAAATAGAGGCGGTTTTGTGCCTCAGTTTTTAATTGGGGGCATGGGGGAGGGGGCTGGTGATAATGTTGCCAAAGAAAGAGGGTCATGGGAGTACCTGGAATGGAAGATGCACAGCACATCCCAGGAGGAAACCTGGACAAGCTGGCCAGCTTTGGAAGTGAGGTGGTTAGTCGGTCAACAAACATAAAAGGTCTCCTTAGGGCAGGGCCAGGCACTGGAGATGCAAAGAGAGGCTGAAGATGAACCTGCCCTCAAGGAGCTCCCAGTCTAACGGGGGAGATGCCGTGCAAACACACTGGTGCCCAAGAACTAGGATCGGGGAAAAAAGAGGGGCTGGGGAAGACTTCCTGCAAACGGGATTAGGAAGCCAGGAGGTGAGGAGGAGGAGAAGGGAGAACACTGCAGGCCTGGAGAAAGCTGGGATGGTCGGAGAGAGAGTGCCCTGGGCTGAGATGGAACTGCTGGGAGGCCCGATTGAGGAATGAAAGCACGTGTGATCACAAAGGGCTTTGAAGGCCGAAGGATTTTATGTCGGATTTTAGAGGAGGTGACATGGTCAGAGGTGTGCTTTAGGAAGTCGCTTTGGTGGCTGACCGGAGGATGGACTGGACAGGGGAGAGCTGAGGCAGGCAGAACCCTCCGTGCGTGGCCCGGGCCACAGTCCAGGTGTGAGGGGATGAGGGTGGGGGCAGGGTCAGAGGAGAGAAGGGGGCATATTAGGGAGATGTCAGAAAGCTAAAATCAACAGGCCTTGGCAACCCATTGGATCTGGGGGAGAGGGGATTATATGTAATAGAGATTTGAGGATTTATACACAACTATTTTTTCTATTTTGTGTATATGGAATTGCTACCTTTTTTTCTTATGGTATGTGCTCAACAAAAATTATATGTAAGATTTAGATAGGTTTAGGTAGTAGTCACTACACTTTTATTGAGCACCTACTGTGTGCTTTGCTAAGTGCTAAGGATAAAAATAGAGACAGTCCTTGGCCTCAAAGAGCTTACCATCCAACGGAGAAAGACAGCCCAGAAAAAGAGGCTGAGAAGGGGTTGGAGGCCTGGCTGAGACGCCCAAAAGCGGTCAATGCGGGTGGTCATGAGGATTAGAACCTCGCTCTGATTCTGAGGTTAGTAAAGGAAGGGCATTTGCTTACACAGCAGAACCCAAAACCAGGGGTCTGTGGGAAACCTTGAATCTTCCATTTTGTACTGCTTTCTTTGGAGGGGAAAAACCCGGGTGCTTAATACATTCTGCAGGTTACTTTCAACCCTGTCCTGTTTGTCTTTGCTTCATTCTCAACTCCATTCTGTTCTCTTCTGTGCATTAAGAAAAACAAACAAACAAACGAAACCAAACCCAGTGTGTTTTAATGACCCTCCTTTTTTTGGAGTCGTTATTGCTAATCTTCCCAACCTCCCCCAGTTACTGAAAGAGGGGGATCCCTCCCATCCTCCTTTTTTTTTCCTTTTTAACAAATTGGCAGGGTCAAATGAAGCAGATCCACACAGTGGCCGTGTCTGAAGTGTCTGTCTCTATACCACTCTCTGTCGAGAGGTGGGGGGAAAACTTCCTTTACCCTAGGCCTTCTGGAGAAAGGCTGCTCATTGCTTTGAAAAGAGCTCTAGAACCTTCGGAAGTTGTATTTCCTTCTAAGGTTGTCCTTGCATAAATTCTTGTTCTGCTCACTTCACTCTGTCTCTTTACACTAGCCAGGAATCTCTGAAATCATGTTTTTCATCTTTTTTTATGGTATAATAACCCATTCTACTCATATATTGGTTTTGTTCAGCCATTTCCCAACTAAGAGGAAATCTAAGGCACCCCCTTGGATGCCAGATCTTTGCTTTTCTTCTGGCTCAGGAGGTTTATTTAGCTCCTGACTCTTCCCTCCCTGGTATTATCGTCTCTCTTAATCCTGCCCTCCACCATTCCTGCTAGTTTCCCTTTTAACTTGATGTAGCCCTTAGTTCTGGGCTGTCACCGTTCCAGAGCCATGGCACTGTGTTGGCTGGCCCCACGCTGGTTACTTGCACTCCCAGAGGCTTCCCATCTCCCTCCTCCGGGTCTTTCTGACCATTCTGCAGCTTTCTCAGGGGCCACTCTGCTCTTGCTGCCTCCCTGGCCATTCATGTCCTGACTGGCTGTACTGGCCTTTGCTTGGCCTGAGAGAGCTTCCTTATGGCCCACGGCCTCCTGGCTGACTTTCTGTGCAGTTTGGGGGTGGAAGGCATCCTTACTGTAGTTTCTCATTAGATTTCTTGGCTGCTGTTTGGTCTCAGGTGAACTTTAGGGCTTTGCTGGAGTAGATGTGGGGAAGCTGGATGATCAGGGTTGGTCAGAAGTCCCTTACGACTTAGGAATTATAAATCAAATACCTGTTTGTGAACTTTGGAAATATCATATGAGGATTGTTGGGGTTGTACCTGGCAGAACAATGGAACTGCTGAGTTTTACATGATTCCCTGCTCTCATGAAGGCACCGATTTGAAGTGTTAGAAGCCAAAAAAGAAAGGAAAAGAGGAGAGAGGCGAGAAGTTGGGGACAGAAAGTACAGGAGGACCCAAGAAAAGTAGTCCCTTAACACCCGGAGTGGAACCTGACAGGGCAGGGTTTGCAGCCGTTTGGCAAGGAGGTGCCCTCCCGGACAGAAAAGAGAAGCTGATTTTCTGAGAGCTTATTGGCTCTTCCTCTATCGAGAGTTGAAGCTGGTGGAGAGGTAGTTGGTGCCATTACTGTCTAGAGATAGCCATGCCCCAAGAGAAGGGACAGCTCTGAGGGGCCCTGGGGCACCCTCCCCTGCCCACTCTATTTTGGGGAGTGGAAACAAAGTGAGGAAGGCCGGCTTTGCACCTGCTCTGCCGTGAAAAGAGGCGTGGCTGTGATAAGGACCCATGGGACCAAACAAGACAGAATCCCCTGCTATTTGAAGGTCGGACTGAGGAAAGTCTGCACGGCCCTATCACCATCTAAAGTCTGAGGGATCGAAATGCCTTGGACCCCCGAAGTAGGTCTGAGGCTCAGAGTAGTTCTCAGGCTTCATGGAGCTCTTTGTCACTGAAAGAGTGTAACACTTTTTCAGCACCCTTCCAAGGGTTGGTGTGTGCTAAAAGTTTATCACCTTTTCAGCAGCTAGAGCGTGCCAGACAGGTGGATTCGCTCCACAGGGGAGCTGTGAGCACCTGAAGGGGAGCAGAGAACAGAGGAGCAGTTTTGCCCAGCAAGTGAAGCATGTCTAAAGAGACCCGGTGATGGGCAGCTAGGTGGAGCAGTGGATAGGGCTTCAGCCTTGGTGTCAGGAGGACCTGAGTTCAAATCCGGCCTCGGACACTTGACACTCACTTGCTGTGTCACCCTGGGCAAGTCATTTAACCCTGACTGCCTAACCAAAAAAAAAAAAAGAAGTAAAGAGACCTGGGACATGAAGACATGTCAGCCATAATTGGGAGCTGTCTCTCACATTCCCGTTCCTCAATGGGTTTCCTTAGTCCTGTACTTTCCTGTCAGGTTTCTCTGTGTGTCCCCCTGGACACCATCTGCTTTGGGGGCAGACTGTGACTCAGGTTTAAGGGTGGATTACTGATCTATTTTGATCATTGCCTTCTATTGTATAAGTGTTATGATTATCCAAGTCTTTATCTTCTACTGAGTTTTGTGGTCAGTCATTCCTGCCCTGAAGGCTATGATTATCTCTGCTTTTGTCTATTTTTAAGTAAACATCTTATTTTTAAGAGTCAATGATGGGAAAAAAAAAAAGAAAAGAAGAAAAGAGTCAATGATGACATTATTTCTGCTGCAGATTTCCTAGGGCCCCACTCCACTCTGACTCTTGGGCCCACTCTTCTTTTGTTTTTGTTTGTTTGTTTGTTTTTGCTTTTTGGCTAGGCAATGGGGTTAAGTGACTTGCCCAGAGTCTTGCAGCTAGTAAACGTTATGTGTCTGAGGGTGGATTTGAACTCAGGTCCTCCTGAGTGCTCTATACACTGAGCCACCTAGCTGCCCCTCCCTCCCACTATTCTTTTGGATAGGTCCTATCTGCCCTGCTAGAAACTAACTGCTCCCTGGCATTTCCATCTGCTGTAAACTGAATAATAGTAATAACTAACATGTAAATAGTACCTACTGTGTGCCAGGCACTGTGCTAAATGCTTTCCGATCATTATCTCATTTGATCCTCACAACAACCTTGGGAGGCAGATGCCATTATTATCTTTGTTCTACTGTTGAGGAAACTGGGGGCAGGCAGAAGATAAGTGACTTGCCCAGGTTCGTACAGCTAGCAAGTGTCTGAAGTTAGATTTGAATTCAGGTCTTCCTGACTCCAGGTCTAAGCACTTTATTCCTTGTGTCACCCAGCTGCCTTTCAAATATGAAATGTGAGCTCCTTGGAAGTAAGGACTGTTTTGGTTTTCTATTTGAATCTCCAGCATTTGCACATAGTTAGTACTTCGCAAATGCTTTTCCATTCCATGAAGTTGACTGATGTTGTGCAAATAGGAAACATACCGGTGGGGGCTCAGCAACTATATATAGTGCTGAGTAGTAGGAGTATGTCTTACCTCACATCAAAGCGTTCCAGACCCGAAAGGTGAGAGAAGGAAGGTTGGGCAGGCCAGGGTGAGCAGAAGATGGTGGACGTGAGGAGGCATAATGTGCAATCAAGCTGGGAGAGCAGTGAATGGGGAAGATTGGGTTACATGAGTCCCAGAGAGAGAGAAAAAAAGGGGTGCCAGTGCCCTGTCACACACCACCTCCAGACCACTCAAGCCTTTCAGTTTGTCCAGTGGCAAACCGTCCCTTCCCATCAGAATCTGCAATTTTTAAATTGGTTGCTGTTCTTCTCTTCAGAGACAGATGTAAAGTGATCAGTCTCCAGTTACCATCCCCATCTGTCAATCAACAAACATATATCAGGAGTTTACTACATGCCAGACATGGCATCCCTACATCAAGAGTTTTTGCATAATCAACTGTGTCTGGCAATTCATCCCCCCCCCTCCCATCCAGACAGGGGGGTGTCTCTCTCTTTCTCTGAACTTGTTAGGGCTCACTGTAGGCCTCCCCAAATCTCTCCCAAATCTTTGTTTTTAATTAAAAATTTTTTTTCCTTCCAAATCTTTTTAAAAGATTTCCACATTCAGCTTCTACTCTACCTAGATAAAAAGACCTCTTCCTGTTTCTGTGGGTCTTGCTTCCTGACACTTTGCTAAAGTTTCGGTTTCCATTTTGGTCAAGGGAGCCTCTAAAGTGCATTCCTCAAATCAATAGTGCAAATAAGGACCGTTGAAGTATCCAGGCAACAATCAAATAAGTGGAACAGATATGCAAATGATGATGGAACAGCGAACACCTACAACTTGCATGTGAAAGGCAGGCTGAGGTGATGGTCTCCATGGCCCATGTAATTAAGCAGAAGTTTGGTCCTAAATCTTTGCCAGCAACCTCTGCTACTACAGGCAATGGGCATTTATTAGTCATCTGCTATGAGGGACAGGACATACAAATGCAACAGCGAGTCTATCCTTGGAGGATGTGACATGCTCACCAGTGAGTACATGCAGGGTGTCCATAGTGCAGCTCGGGGAATCAGGAAGGCCTTTGGAAGGAGGTGTTCTAGGGGGCCCTTAAAGGGAGGGGTGGGCTCCAAGAGCCGGTGGGGAGGACCTGGAAGGCGAGAGGACGAAGGTTGGGCAGGCCAGGGTGAGCAGAAGATGGTGGACGTGAGGAGGGATAATGTGCAATCAAGCTGGGAGAGAGAGGCCGGAGCTAGACTGGGAAGGACTTTCAATACCCAGCAGAGGCGCTCGTATTCTAACGTAAAGATGGCGGCAGCCATTGACCACTAGCAGAGCAAGAGAGGGATGTGGTCTTTGGAATAGCCTTGACAGGGCCATGGAGAGTGAGCCGGCAAGAGGAGAGAGGCTGGAAGTCCTGGAAGTCGGGACTCCATTTAGAGAGGCCGTGGGGCCCAAACTAGATTAGCTGTGGTGGGATGGACATGGGAGGTGTCATGGGGATGGGATGAGAACCCTGATTGATGTGGGAGGTGAGTGAGGGGGGAAAATCAAGGCTGATTGAGTGACTAGAAGGAAAAGGAAGAGAGGGAGAGGGACGACTTCAGCAGGTGAGGACGCTGAGCTCCAGCTCAGTCACGTTGAGCCGTAGATGCCCACTGGACACCAGGGAGAGATGTTGTGGAGGGAGCTGCAGATTTAGCACGGGAGCTCAGGAGGCGAGTGAGGGCTGGTGCGTAAAGTTACTAGTAAACAATGGTATTCACAAGCTCCAGCCATTTAGAATCCTACTGAAAAAAATGGTCAATCCACAGGCAGGGAAAAGGGGAAAAAAAAAATCAAAACCCAGGCTTGTAAGAAACAATTTCCATGAAGAAATGAAAAAAAAGTCCAGAATTGTGAACCAGGAAAAACGCATTTTTGGAAAAAACCCAACATTTTCAACAATAAAAAAATCAGCTGATAAGGAAATATCCTTTAACTCAAAAACTCATAACCAATAAAAGAAAAATTATCCTGGACAAGCTCCGACATGTGACACTCGCCTCAGACCTTGCCCTTTGTCATCTTATTAATTATTCAGCCAAACAGGGATACTCACAGCACCTGCCTCCCAGGGTGACCGTCCTCATAAAGCACTTGGCACAGAGCCGGGCACATGCTAAGCGTGGTACCTGTTATTGTTATTACTGAAGGATGACAAGGTGTTTGTGCTGGAGCACTCACAGAGCCGTGCTTGACCTCGGGAGGACAGAGCCAGAAGCCGGAGGGGCAGAGCTCCCTAAGGGCCCCCTCGGGGTGGACGGCAGGGAGCGATCCTGGCAGTCTGCGGAGGCAGTGGCCTCCCTCTCTCCATGCAAAGACTGAATGACTGATTGTTGAGGGTGTGAGCCCCGGACGCCTCGAGAGCAGGAGAGCCACATGGCTGGCCAGCCTCGGGCTTTTGGGAGCAAGGCTGGCGAGGGGAGGCTTCTGCAAGTGGTCCCCCTCTCGTGCTGAGGCCTAGAATCCATTAGCCCAGGTGGGTTGTACAGAATGGCTGGGAATGCAGATGTGACTTGGAGGTCTCTGCCAGGACTTGCTGGGCACCGAACCTGCCTCAGGGAGCTGCCTGCTCTGTGATTCATACAAGGCCAAAGGAGGGGGTTGCCCCCCTGCCCCCCCCACCCCCTCTTAGCCTATGATGCTTTGGTACCAACCCCAGTCAGGCATTCAGGAAACTGGTAGACCCCCACCCCTCCCTGGGAGGCCAGAATTCAGGGCCATCCCAGAGAAGGGAGATCGGACATGTCCTGCGCCACTCCCAGGGCTGAACCCGACAAGGAACATTCCAAGGACACAGATTTCAGCTAAAATAAGGAAGGGCTCACTGACAGTCAGACGCAGCCAGCCATGACCGCCCCGTGAGCTCGCGTTCCCACGGTTTGTCAGAGGCCTCCAAGGAAGAGGCAGGCTCTCACTGGGGAAATGAAGAGGCGAGTGTTGACTGTGGGCCAGGCCTTGGCCCTGCCCTCAGGGAGCTTAGGTTCCCATGGGAGAAGACGACTCTCCAGGCAGCGGAACAGCTGCGGGGTGGGATCTGGGGCGCGGTATCCAAGCAGGGGAACGGTGGCTCAGGGAGGTGCCCACTACCCAGAGGAGGAGGAGCCCTGGCCGCTGCCCTGTCCCTTTGCCCTCCTATCCCGTCTTCCATCGTCAGTAACTTGTCCGAATAGGTCAAGGTCCGGTGGTTTCAATTCCCTGGCATGCCTTATTTACTTCTCGTGACAATGCCTCCTCCACACTTCACACTAACTGTGACCTTTGCTCCAGCTTGACAGCCGCCTGCTCTGACTGCACGGGCTGCTGACTCAGCAAAGACTCGTGTCTTCCTGCTTGGTCAGGTCTCATCGGTTTCACTTTTGGTGACGGCATTCGTTGCCTGCCATAGCCAACTCCTTGCTGAACCTTTCCTTTTCTTTTCTCATCTTATTCATCTATTCTTAGTTTTCACCAATCACTTTCATAATAGTGTACTTCGATCTGCCTTCAAACTCTCCAGACTGAGCCTTTTCTTTTCTTTTTTAAAATTAATTTATTGTTAGTTTTCAACCATCACTTCCATAAGCTTTTGAGTTTTAAATTTTTCTCCCTCTCCCCAAGACAGCGTGCAATCTGATATAGGCTCTACGTATACATTCCTATCAAACATATTTTCACATTACTCATGTTGTAAAGAAGAATGAGAACCAATCGGAGGAACCACCAGAAAGAGGAAACAAAACACAACAGAAGAAAAAAAAGAGAGAAAACTGTCCTTCAATCCGCATTCAAACCCCATAGCTCTTTCCCTGGACGTGGATAGCATTTTCCATCGTGAGACTTTTGGAGACGGACCGAACCTCTTCTTGAAGGGCGTGTGTACCATGAAGAGGTGCCCAGCTTACGGGCACTTTGGGCCCAGCCCTTCCCTTCTTCCTGTTCTTATCCTCAGGCTCCTTACCTGTGTTCTCGGAGGTACCTTTCAGCATCCTCATCTAGTCCCGGCTTTGCTTGAAGCCTGAGTGTCAAATACGTAGTGACCAAGTTTGGAAAGTCTGGTTGGGTTCCTCGGGGAGCCTCTCTACCTCGTCGTCCTCCCCGGCTGCTGTTGGGGCACGCCTGGGCTTTGGAAGCCCTTTGGGCAGCTGTGTGGGGCAGGGCCTGAAGAAGGGGAGAGACACGAGGTTCTGTCAGGGGGCTGGGCAAGAAGCGACGGACTCCGTGAGCGAGGAGAAGGGGGTGAGTCCAAGGGATAAGGCTGGGGAACCAATTGGAAGTCGGGGCTGAGAGGGAAGAGGCAGGGGTGAGGAGCCGGGATGACGGGAGGAATGGCGCCCTCAAAAAAGTCAGACACTTATTAAGCACCTCCTGTGTGCCAGATGCTGCGCTAAGCGTTAGGGATACAAAGAAAGGCGACAAACAAATGCAGTCCCTGCCTCAGTCTCCTCATCTGTAAAGTGGGGACAATAATAGCACTTACTCCCCCCCCCTCCCGTGGTTGTTGTAAGGATCAGCTGGGATAGTCTGCAATCCTTAAACTTTGCGAACCTGAAACGTTGTAGAAATGCTAGTTATTATCATCATTATTTTAGCCCGTCAGAACTGATGAATCTCCTGAGGGAGCGAGTATGGAGAGAGAAGGAAGGGCAGTGTGGTCTACGGGAAAGAAGACTGCTTTTGGAGTCGGGGGACACAGATTCAGATCCTACCTCTGAAACTTCGTGCCTGTGTGACCTTGGGCAAGTCGCTTTCCCTCTTTGGGCCTCAGTTTCCTTCCCTGTAAAATAAGGACATTGGACAAGAAAGCTTCCAAAGACCCTGCCAGCTGTAGAGGAAGGAGCGGAGGCTCTGGGAACCTTCATCTTGCGTGGGGTGTTCCCCGCATGAAGCACGGGAATGTCTTGGGGCGGCTCAAAGGGGCAGGACAGACGCCTCCAACCTCTTCTCCCCCAGCCTTCTCCAAGGGAGACTCATTCCTGCCCGGAGGGGAGCAGGAGGCTGGGGCCACAAGCTTGGCTGCTCTCCTCCCCTCAGAGAGAGCGGGCACTGAGCCACCAGTCCATCCGTCTGCTCCCTTCAGTAGCGCTAGTCTAGAGGATGTGATTCTTAGGTCCAAGCTAACTTCTGGTCCCTGTTTCATTAATGGGGGTTAGCAGGAGGACCCCAAGCTTTATACCCACTCCGTTCCCACCAAATGTGGGTTCCACAATGATGCACTGAGCCACAGCAGAGCAAAAACGCCAGTACCCCAGAAATCGGAGAAGGGCTCCATCCTAGAACACCTACCAGACAGTATAGAGGGAAGGGGCTCTCCCAGCAAGAGCCGGATAACTCGGCTTTACCAAGACGGACAGCTCCAGGGTCACCCCCAAGGGTCTCTAGAGTAGCAAACTGGGGATAGGGACCTGATAGAGACTGCCGGCTTCTCTCATGTCCTCCCAGAGCCTTTTCCGTCAGCACCCTGATGTGGGCCCGGCCTCACCCATCTTCCCTCTTGAAGCTGGCCACCAGAAGTGCCCAAAGCTATGAAAGAGAACTCTTCTCCCACTCTCGCCAACACCTCCAGTTCCGATGCAGACACAGGCACTGGTTTTCCCCAGTAAGGAGACAGTCCCATACCAGTGGGCTTTGGGACTTGGGTCTGAGATACATGTTTAGGGGTCAGCAAGTGGAGACTGAGAAGGAATGGTCAGTCAGTCGGGAGAAGAACCAAGAGAAATCAGTGTCATGAAAACCTAGAGAGGAGAGAGTCTCCAGAATGGTGCCAAAGATCCACAGAGAAGTCAAGAAGAAGAGAAAAGGCGACCAGTTACTGTTGGCAACCTTGGAGAGCTGTTTCCATTGAGTGGTGGGGTTGGAAGAGAGATCGTAGGTGTATGCAGTTCAGTAGAAACATTTAGTGAGTTATTTCTTTTAAATCAATTTTATTTTATTTTCAGTTCCAAATTCTCTCTCTATACCCTCCCCTTCCTCATTCATTGAGAAGGAAACAAAACTGGTTTTAAATATGTA